ATTTCATGCATATCTCATTTGCTTCTTAGCTGATATTTACCACGCAATTCTGTGAGAAAGTAGAGGCCTAAGATGCTCCAGATAAATGGCTCAATTAATTGTACAGAGGTAGACCTCTTTGAGCTGAGCCAGAGCTGTGAGCTCTTTATTAAAAGCACTATTCTGTAGCCCATAACCTTGTTCCTTGACTCCTCTCTGGTTTCCAATTTAAACAAGTCCCCATGCGGCCTGCTCTAAAGGGCTTTGTCTCCCTGTCATTGTTAAGAGAGCTGAGGCATCCTGGAAGTGTGAAATCAGACCTCATGAGTTGAACGGTTCCCCAGGGAACGCTGGACTGCGCAGAAGGTCAAAGTCATGGGCCGGACCATCTAAAAGTGTCTGATCACCGGTCTGTGACACAGCAAGTTGGGAGGGGTAGGGGGGACGGCGCTAGACTGAAGAGGACTGAAATTGAACACATCTTAATTAAAGCCCACAGACAGCAAAACAAAATGTTTTCTCGGCAGCCTGTCAAATGGGGCTTAAATTTAGCTCTGCTAATGAATCTGAGCTGCTAACTGTTATTTCTTAAGATAATAAGACTCTCACGGAAGCTGATAAAAAAACTGTAGCATGTCTTTTTCTGCTGTTTTGTTACTTAAATATTTTTCAACAATGAAGACAGTTTTCCTAAAGAAAAACATGGGGAAAGTCTATGCAAATAAAGCGGTAGTAAACATCTCTCTTAATAACCAGTAGGTTTCCAGACTATGGGTGGTGTGTCCCAAGACTTTATGCATAGCCTTGCTTTAGAAAAAGATATGCTCATTTAACGGGACTATTTCTGTGACAGGTTATGTTAATTGTAAAATTCTCTCCCTCCATTCCTTTTTCCCTCTCTCCTTCTTTTGTTTCCTCTCTTGAAAGAGATGGTGCATACATTTCAGAGATCTATTCACCTGGGGTGGAGAAGTTTTATATTAGTATACTTTTAATACAGTGGAAAGGTAGGGCAACTTTTGAAAAGGTCGCACAGTTCTCCCATATCACTGTTTCTGACACCAAGTGGCTGGTATCCCTGGGGAGGCTGTGACCTCTTCCTCAAGAGCTCTGAAAAACAACCCTGGGGAAAAGGAAGAGGAGGGGCCGAGGAGAAGGACCCTTTTCTCTTTCTTCTCTTAGAACTTGAAAGAACCAATAGGCCAGGTCTAAATACTCAGCGAAGAAAGCCTCACTCAGTATAGGAGACTTTAAATGTTCTACTGAAAGCAGAAATTAGGCCCTGCTCAAGGAAAAGAATAATTAGAAGCTAGAAAAGACAAATTCCAACAGGAACTGCTTCCCACCACCAAAAAAAAAAAGTATTTCTCTCCTTTGGTCTTTCTATCCTTACAATCTGTCCCATTTTAAGAAATACTTGATTTAGCTGTAGAATCTTTGCCAGCGAACACCGGGCCAGACAGTTGCTAGGTTTTGCTTTGATGGTACAGAGAGACGTTAACCTTTTCACTGGTTAGCTGAGAGGTAAGTTAAGTTGTACTGTGCAGTATTTTCCAGTTGATCAAACTTTTTCCCTCGTGAAGAATTTAGCTGACCAACTCTGAAAACCGGAGTGCCACTTTCTCAGGCTGTGAAAGGCTGCCCAGAATTTGACTGAAATTTCAATCCACTCTTGTGCCTTTTGCTCAATGCATGTGTATGTGTGGGAGTTGTAAATTGAGGCCTTAACCACCAGAGTTAATCTCTTTTTTAAATCTGTATTAACCTTAATGATTTGAAGTGCACTGTCCAACACTGGGCTATTGAGGCTGAAGAAAAAAACTACCCTCGACTATCAACAGTTTATTAGGGGCTTAACTGAAGTGACCTACTGTAGTAAGTGTTCAGCTGAACAAGGCTATAGGCTTTTTGTGGAAAGGGAAAGAATTGAGGGTTTCATTAAAAAGTAATTTGTGCTTTGTACTCCCTCATTCAAAGAGTCTCAATTGCTCTTTATTCACACAGAGTTAATACAGTATCACAATGTTTCTCAATGAATGTGTTGTAACAAAAGAAAAATTTTACATTTTGAATGGAAAAAATTCTTTGTAACTGCGTGAGATTGATGGCTACTTAGAAGATTACAGAATCTCTTTTTCCTTTATTTGTGTTAAATGATGGAATATTACAATTTAAAATTTTTTGCTTTAACTATGGCATTTATCTTTATGTTCTGATCATTAAAAATATTTTAAAAACAGAGCAAAATTGGCCAAATATAAGACTGTCTTGTTAGACTTGTCAAGAAAACAGTGTTCTGAATCCCACTAAGCATCCTATATATAGTAAAAGCCTCATTTATAGGTCAGAAAATATTCTTTGCTTAGTTAGCACAGCTATCATGATTTAAAATCTCCCCTCTCTATCTGCCACACTCCTAAATGGATGCTAATTCGAGAATTTGAAGACAGCACCATGGACTCAATTCCCTGTTTTCAAACTGTTGCTGAATATCTTGCAGAGCCTGACTATGATTATCCAGTGAGATGTACAGCATATTTTTCAAGTTCTTCTTTGAACAAGTAAGAGATAAAGTATACAAAGAGCTTATTTGTGCCCCTAATTTAATGATAAAGGCCAGGAAGGATCAGTATACATATAAACATCCTTTCCAGAAGTAAAGATTACTTTAAAAATTGGTAGTACATTCAGACATTTCTGACTTAAATATATGGTCCTCAGTTTCTGCCACCATCACAAATGTCATAGAGACCACAAAGGTCCACGAGTGAGCAAGGTCAAAGGCTGAATTATTCTCTTGCCCCCGAATAGTTCAACATCTCTCTTATTCAATTCAGAGCACATTAGATTATAAAGTCAGTGTGGAATGAGGAATCATCAGATTTATATCCCTAAAACTGGAGGGAAAAAAATGGAGATTCTGTTATTTAGTATTCCTCAAATTAAAGTTCATTTTATCAGATCAAAATTATGTCTCATGGAATCCCTAGGGAAAAGGCTATTGTTACTCACATTAATTTACATAGAGCCATTAGGAAAGAAATACATTTTTTCAAGCTTTGAAAGAACACGTTCTTTAACGTCCATAATGGCATACAGGCCAACTGGGTTAACATAGTTTGCATATTCATGAAGCTTTAAAAGCAATGACAGCTTCTCTCCAAGAGAAACAAACTTACATAATTGCATTCAACTTGTATAATGGGCAGGTATCTAAGCTTTTGAGGTAAATTGGATGTGAATTCTTGTATAAGAAATTATTATGCCTACTATGGTTGTCCAGTGATAGTTTGTAGCACTTAGATACCCCCTGGGATACTGATTACTTTAGGTTTTTCTCCCAAACTTCAGATGTTTTCAGCCTAACACTGGGTGGCCCCCTTCTCTTACAGAAAATCCCTAAGAAAAGTGGAGGTGCTTCCATGATGGTGAACGTTACTACCATGAAGTTCTGAATCCATCTGCTGCCGGGAATCAGAGGCTAGCCACAACCTCTGTAGTATAAAAGTAATACTGTGCTCCTATTCCAGTCTTTAAGTTAATGTCCAAAGTGAACAAAAAACAGCAGCTACTCAAGTCATTCATTCAATGCTAACTATTGGTTCCAATAATAAATGCAGCATAACAACAAAAAAAAAGAAATCATTGTGCCCAGATTAATTTGATTATAACCATGCCAGAAATAAAAAATAAAATGAATAAACTTAACATTCACTAATTGTTTAGTACAAGAAGCCAAGTCAGCCTATATGCAAAAAAGATTACAAACTACCCTGTCTCCCTCACTCCTTTCAGGTATGCCTATTTTGAAAGAATATTTGACAGTTGTTATTATCTTCCTGGTTACAAATGAGTTGATAATTACTACTTTAAAGAAAGTATAAACTCTCAACATTTTAATTTTAATCACAATAGTCATTTGATTCTATGAGAATACTAATTTTTTTTTAAATATTGCCATTTTGGAGCAGACATCTGCTCTTTTAGTTGGAAGGTATGTAATCTTCTAATTTGGTTTTGATTTTGTTCCATGAATTAAAGAAAGGCACTGGCATTCATGTAGAAAAGTGCATTTTTCTCCTTCAAATAAGCTACCTTTTAAGGGTCATCTTGCTCAACATTCACCATGGTAAGTATATTTCCACAAATAATAAGTGTATTCTTTCAAAAGCAGTAAGGATGATGCAAAAATTGGTCAAGTCAGTCTTATTTATTATCCATTTGAGATGGACAATTTAAGGGACAGTATAAACATCTTCCAAATCCTATGCAATTAAATAATAAGTGAATGATCACATAGTTACAAATTCAAAACAATATTTCATTTGGAAAATTGATGAAATAATTACTATTGGCCAATTAATTAACATGTCATAGAAACAGCAATATCCAAATTAGGGAGCTTGAAGAGACAAGACCAATTTTGGTATTTTTACAGGCCTGTTTCTTGGTCAAAAAATGTTTAGAACACTGTAGATATTTAGTTTATACCCAGAATTACCTTTGGAGTCTAAGAGATTTGGACAACTAAGCAATTGGGTCAGCATCCCAAACACTAGAGGTTCATACCAAATAACTGAGTATTACGCATTTGAACTTTTCAGTGAACTATGCAGCAGATTTCATGCACATTTGCATTGTAAGTGTTGATGCTATGATATCCTCTGAGATAAGTTGATTCTGTCTGAGAGAAGATACAGCATTACTCCGAAATGCCAAAAAGACAAAAACCTAGAAGAAATATTCCTGCTATGTTGATTGAACCTTGGAGAAGGCAACAATTCAAGTTATTTTACATTTTATTATGTATTTTTAATATAACACCCTTCTTTTAAAAAGCAGAGACAGTATAAAAGTCAGGTGGTTGGCAAATCTTTGTAAGATGAAACCTGAAACTTTGTGCTTCTATTATTTACTTTGACGATACAGGTGAAATAAAGAGCGCAGTCATTACAGAAGGTCTGAGGCCTCGCACACTGCTTGATACATAAACACAACAGGAGAACTGCATGATTTCCTACCTGTGACATCAGCAGCCATTAATCCTTCTGCTCTGATTACTTTCACCTGGAGAAATCCCACATCTTTCAGGTTGTGAAATATCCGCAGTGGACTCTGAAAGACCCCCAACATCAGTGTTAGGAAAGAAAGGTCCTACGGGTCTCAGACAGCATGCTGAGAAAACACTTAAGTTTTATGGTTGATCTCGGGTGCTTCTTAAGTGATTCAAAGGAATATTTGTGTTTCTTCAATACAAATTACTGTCCCACCATCATGAAAGCGTACACCCACACACACACATGCATATTCACATAGTTATTGCTCTGTAAGTAGTTCTGAAGGATCAAAAACCCCCACATTTCTTCCCCATAAATAATTATCAGTAGATGGTGAACAATCAGTTACAGACTAGGATATGTGTACTTTGTTCCTTTGATCGCCTTTACCAAAGCACTTCAAGAAATCTTCATTGATAAATAAGGAAATATTTCATCTCAGGAAATGATGGTTTGGAGATTAATTGTTCTTAATATTGAATATTAAATTGTTGGCTATGTAACACACTTCAGATTTGGGGAGTAAGCAAGTCAACATTAAATTAATTTATTATTCTTCCTATTATTTCCTTCTTGGTGAATTTTGAAAAATTGCCTGTGCTAGATAAGGGTTAAATTATTGAAAGACTATTTTGTAATATTTCATTCAAAAGACTTATATAATTCTGTAAATCTTTTAGGTAAATGACATACATAATCTAAAAGAAATCAAATTGACTGCTAAAAATAATTTCAAAAGTGATGAGTAATTTTTCTTGAATTTGTAATTGTATTTGCCATTGTAGTACAATTAGAAATGTAGAAATTTTGATAGAAGAATCATATCCAAATGATAAACCTATCTATTTTCACAAATTAATAGTAGTAATTAATAATGGTAGTCTTCCAATACCTGAGGAATTAAAAGAGAGACACCAATACAATAATTCAGAACTCTAATAAATGGGCATAAATACTTAGAAAGTAAATAGAACATTGATATGCATTTGTTTATTTATACTTTATAACATTTTTCTTATGACAAGATCAGCATTTCTACTCTGTAAATCAAACGTTTTTCCTTAGCTAATCTATAAATGTTTTTAAGATGAGGAGCATAACATAGTTTTGCATAATAAAGTTATCTATTAAAATGTTACTGAAATAAAGAACATTTCCATCCTGTATTAGGAGGGTGAGAATTCTGACAAGTAAAAGCTTATGGTGTTACTAACTTTATCAGTCCCATATGACTAGTCACTGTTTACACTGAAGCTATGACCTTGGTACACTGACAGGAGAAAATACAGATATTTGTGTACCCTCATAGCCTAACTGTTGAAAAATAGTATTTAGCACAAGGATTAGCACTTAATCTTTTGTTGCTTCTAAACAGTTGTTTATCTCCAAAAGTCTGGTTCAACAACCTACGTGACAGTGTTCAGTAAAAATGCACTTCTTCCTCTTTTCTGATTCCTGTGAGTTAAGGGTTTAACTGGGGGAACTTTAGATCACAGTTTAGAATTCAGAGGTTTGTAGGCATGTTGGTATGATCAGGTTTGGGAAATTGCTTATCTCAGAGCTCACGGAGTATTATAAACCAGGCACGTCTCCTAGCCCAATAAGGAAGACTTTTATCACAAGGTTCCTATCCTTTAATTTTCAGGAGCAATTTAAACCAAGTTTCATTGTGACTAAAACAAGTATCGTCAGTTCTCAGTCTGAGAAGCATTTCATACTGGTAATCTCATTGCACAGACATAGCTCTGGCACTTCCGCTCCAATGTTCTGCTTCCCATTTGGAGGGGTAATTATTGTTTGAAGGTTTCATTTCCTCGAGTCAACTGACACTCAGTAATTTATTGCAAGTTTCAACTGTTTAGACCAGTGACATATTGATTATAATAAGAACTCCAAAAAACGTGAAAAACTTAAATATATCAGTTTAAAAATATATCTTGAAGTAATGCTTCATCAAGAGGTACTCGTGACTTGTTATTTATGGTTATTTTAGAAGGCCTCTAAACCTGGATGGCTTCTGAAGACAGAAATTTCCATAGCAGAAGAATCTATGATTTGCTGTGAATCCTTTCAGCCCTCAATAGATGGGAAAAGATTGAAATGCTCTGGAGAGGAGTCCTCTTTATTTTTTTAATGAAAGGCTGTATAATATATTTTCTCTATGGCTGCAGCAGCTGTCAGGGGGAGCATCTCAGTTCAGCTCTATTACGGGAGAGGCAATACCCCATCCTATGGCATCGAGATGCTCTGAGGGGCCAGAGCTGATTGACAGCTTGTCACCGTGACGTCTTATTCCATCTCTGTTATGGAGAAAATTAATGTCACACCACCAGCCTTATGACTCGCTGTCATCTTAGAACCGCTCACCTTTTATCAATGCTCTAAATAACATTTCAAGCCCATCGCCTCATGGTGGACAATCCGGTCAAGGGACATTAAATCAGATGACTGTGAAATGTCATAATAAAAATGGAATGCTAACAACTTCTTCTCTAAACTAGCTCCTCTGGTTTTTAAACTGTGACAAGGGAGAGCAAGGGTTCAGCATACCCGTTCTGAAAAGGTCATACAATCACTCTTGGTCTACTACCCATTACTACTCACCCCCTATTGACCTTCCCTACTTACCCTCCTGCCCCACCCAAAAGAAGAAAAAAAAAGAAAGAAAAATGGAATTAGCCATCTTTTCCAATTGTGGTGATCAAATAATGGCTCACACAGTAATGTCTATTTAATTTGTGGGGCTTAAATGCTTCGCAATGCACAGCTGACTGACAGCAGTGGACAGCCTTTTCAGAGCTGTTTCATATGAGAGGGGCCAATTCATTCACCTTCCTCACACAACCAGTGTCAAGTCAAATTCTTAAGTTTAACTTAAACTTTAAAAGTACACATGTTCTCACAGAAAAACATAAATAATTCTCAGAATAACCTCCTATGTTTCTTCAAAACAAGTCACATTTCAGACATGATACTGCATTCATTCATTTCATAATCTGTATAATAAACAGGAAATGCACTAAAACCCTAAATATTAGGCCTTTGTCCTTGTACTGCCATGAGCAATTATAACACGTGCCACATGCTATATCACAAAGACTAGCTTCTCTGCAAGTGTATCTCTAGAGGGGAATACAGGCCTATGCTTGAAATTAAAGGCTAAAAAAAAAGTATATTTAAACATGGCTCACTTTTAATATATTGAGCAGAACATAATCTGAGAATTGGCTGCAGTATCTACATAACTAACATTTGAAAGAAGATATAGAAACAAATATTCAAGTTCTGACTGGAAATGGCCAATTTAAGGAAGCCCATCCAGCAAAAAGAAAAAAGAAAAAAAATCAATAAAGTAGTTAGATTATTTCTAATTACCTAGCCTGCAGGATCATTCTTATATACGGGATACCATCAAATATTAATCCATTCAATACAGTGTTATAATACCCAGGATAATTTTTATATTAATACACCAATTAATTCCTTTAAAATTGTTTCAATTCCTGAGGCTCACTCCTGGTAACAGGAGAATAAGTTTTGGTGGGGACCAAAATGTGAAAGAGTTCTCATAATTGCAGTTACATATTAAAAGATGCTACACAATACTTAGGCTCTTAGGTGGCTTAAAAATATATACTATTTAGCCTTGCGAAGTCACCTCTATTAAACTGTTTATGATAACGCCATTGGTGGGTGAGTTGTTCAAGCATTAGCAGACAGCTGATGCAGTGGAGATAGCCAGAATAAATTTGCTGAAGCGCACATCCTGCTAATCTGTTTGAAGAATATTGTAGAGCATTAGTACCAGCACTTCATGTTATCTGCACAGCCTGATAAGGTACATCTTTATTAAATTCAGTTATTGGAAGGATGTCAGTCAGCAAATAGGAATATTTTAAAATCTAAAAAAAAAGAAAAAAATGAAGCAGTTCTTTGTTACTCAGAGCCTGGTTTCATGGCTGAGTGTCTAGAGGAGCCTTCTAAACACCTGGCAGCCTTGTACAATGCAAGCTTTGTAATTTTAAGTGGAAAAGCTTTTTTCCCAGCTTCACGGCTACTGTGGCATTCACTTTTCAAGCCTCCATTGCGAAAGAATGGTGGAGTAAGAGCTCCCCTCTCTGTTGATTCAAGAAAATACATGATGGGCAATACATTGTGTGAGGATGCTGGGAAATAGGTAGATTTGATTGTGAATTTTGGTTTGGTAGAATTTGAGGAGGATAGTTATTTTAGTGACTCACTATTCCACCTTTCACTGTACATTTGATCCAAAGGTAAGGAGGCTTCCTGTTAATTATATTTCACATTCATTTAAAATAATTTCAAGGAATGAAGTGAGGCTTTACTAAGCAGTTAAAAATAAAAATTACTTCTATACATACCCTCTAGTTACTAAGCTACTAATTAATATAAGTGCCATTAATTCCATTTCAAACTTGGAAAGACAAATCTAAATTGCAATTACAAAGAGTTAGTGAATTAATTTTAAAGTAATGTTGTGGTAAACTTGCCTTTCCTTTAGAGGAAGTTTCTCTACATGATAATTTTGCTATATGATAAAATCGCTGAGGAGAATCTAGAACCTAGAATTTGTGCTGGAGGAGAAGAGCAGGTATCTAGACATCAGTGGGTATCACAAGAGCTTCGGCAAAGATATGCATGGCATTTGCATTTTGCTTTTGCTGATTCATTTTTAGGTTTTCAGATGTACTTCTGTCACTCCAGGTAAATTATTCGCAACCTCATGGTGACACATGACCCCAAAGGAAAAGGGTTACATACGTACATATCTCCTCAATATTTTCTCCCGTTCTTTCTGGTCCTCCAGGGAGTTGACAGAGAAGTCAGAAATACTGACTGTGGCCGATGCTGTCAGGGTAACCAGCAGTACCAGGTGTCCCTCACCTTCTTCCAGCTGTAACTCCAACTTGTGCGTCTGTTCCCTACTGAGGGCTGACAGGTCGACCTGGCACCTAGATACAAATGGACTGAATTAGCAAGTGGCTTTTTTTTTTTTATTTGCCACATCAAATAGTGGAAGTACAGACTGTTCAGAACAATGTGAAAACTATGTCAATAGAAGTACTATTTGAACCACTGGAAGAATTTGTCTTTCATATCAGCTAACTTTCCTCATAAAATTCAGAACCTGATTATTTTAGTGTCTAATTGCTTATTTCCTGTAAGGTACAAAAACCATGCTTATCTGATTTGACTTCGATTACTACCCACTGTCACCATATTTGTAAACTGGCAGGGCTTCCAGTCCCTAAATGGCCTTGGTCAGTAATGCTTTGCTTACGGAAACCTTACATGAGCTGTCTGGAGAGGCAAAGGACCAAGAGTCTGAATTTTTATGTCACTTTTAAAAGAGTGGGTATTTTTTACCCATTTATAAATGTTATTAAGCAGTGACTAGAATACATACTACGGTGATGTCATAGTTCTACATTTTTAAAACCATGCTAACTTACTCATTGGACAATGCAAACGTTTAAATAAAAAACAAACAAATCCTCTGAAACATGATAGCTTGAATGTTATATAAGACAGTTGTCTTAAGACAGGTTTCATAAATCGGCAGCCCACACTCTATTTGCCCCTCAAAGCTTAACATCTTGCAAGTTCTTTTCATAAAAATGTCAACTGGCTTGGAAGAGAAAGATACTGCAGTGACTGCAAGGACAATAAACTGAGAGAAAAGGGAAGATACAAGTAAAACAGGAAACAGTCCATTACAAGAATAAACATGTAACACATTATAAGTAGGGTGGTCAGCAATCAGGAATAGATTAAACGTTAATTCCTTCTTATTCTTCACTCAGGGCCTCAAAGCTTATAGTTGGATTCAAACATCTCTTTAGTGTGAATGATTATAGACATTGAACCAAAGTCTGACATTTTCCTTTTATTTTTGCCTACTAAAAATGACATGAGAGATGGCTGGGTCTAGAAAATTGGGAGGAAGAGTAATAGATGCAAGAAATGAGAAAGCCTTCAGAAAAGCCCTGGTCAGTGACAGAAAGTCTGTGTGTGCTAAGTGCTAACTACTGAGAGAGCAGGAAGGCAGAGCCTGTACCAAGTCTGGGAAACATTTCCCTACAGTTAGAATGTGTATCCAATGACCTCGCTGTTTCTGTGAACACGACATCCATTTCAAGGTATTCTCAGGCTGTCTCCTTAGACTCTAAAAGATGAAAAAAATATATCAAACGTCTTATCTCATCTTCTAACTTTAATTGGAATTAAATTCTCATCAGTAACACCTGGAACAAATTGAGAGCTTAAAAAAATATAATAATGAAAAAACAAACAACCACATGTATTCTCTAATAAAAAGGAAAAACATGAATACGATTCTCTACAGATCTTTCCAGCATCTGGCTCAGTGCCTAGCCTGTAGTTCCGTGCATGTGAATGAATCGTTGGACTCGTTTGGGGTCTGATCCTGAGAACTGAACAGGGATTACAGTGCAGATAGGACGTTTGGTTGGATAAAGTTGGGACCAAGAAGGGGCTTTCCCTCACTTTGATCATCCATTTCCCAGTCCTGTCCTTGCCTTATTTTTTTTGGTATGACTCTGCATCATTCTTAAAACACTAGAACACAGTGAAGCCTTCTAGAGGATTTCCTTCTGTGCCTATTAGCATTTCACTTGGGTCATTTAGATGCTAGCCTACTTCTCAGTTACAGTCGAGTTATTGCATTTAATGGTTTAGAGTTGGGAAAGATGCTCTGGCCCAGGAATTGCAAATTGGCAACTTTCAGATTAAATCTGACCCATGTATTTGTTGTTTTTGCTTGTAGTGCTAAAAGAAAGTTTTGAATTAAAAGAAATTTAAAGACAGAGCAAATGTCCTCTGACTTACGTTCCCAGTACTGTTGATTATTTACAGCTGGCCTGTTTCACTCACTTCTGTACCTTTTTCCATGAGGCACAAGGATTGTACTCTCCTTAATTTACCAATGAGAAAACTGAGGGCCAGAGACTTTACATGATGTAATGGAGATATACAGTTAGTTATTAGCAGATCCAGGACCTGAACTTTGAACTCTGGATTCTAAGAACCATCCTGTCATTAAGTGATTGTGCAACTTAGGAGAAAGTATTTACTGTATGCTGTGGTTCTTACATTGGGCAATATCTGGACTTGTTTTTAACAGAAAACAATTATCTCAGTTTTCAAGCATGGAATTGTGTCATTATTTTTGTGCTTCTAAAATATATATAAACTAGGGAAGAATGCTATAAATTACTGCTCACCTTTCCCAACTCTAAGAAAAATAAACAAATTGAATTTAAAGAACTATGAAGCTAAAACAATTCAAATTGACATTATACAGTTATAGGAAGGGGTTATGCTTCTCTGCTGCAACTAAATTTTTAATATTAGGTCTACATGTTGAAATAGTCTGAGGTCCTGTCTTATATTTAATGCTTCAGAATTTTGATTTTACTAATTCTAATGTAGAAAATGCCTATTTATACAAATATATCAGATGAGAGTGTATTAATGATTTCAAGGTTCTTTTTTGTTAGTAGAGGTTATTCAGATGTCCTATTCATCTAAAAACTGCTCAGAAGTAATCCTCAAACGCCATTTTAAATGAAATGTCACTTGATAACTAAGCAAAATCATCTTGTTAGCCTGAGGACAGAATTAACATCACAGCATCATTGATACCTGAATTAAATGGGTATCAAACCAAATTATTTCTGGAATTTGGAGAAAAAGCCTTTGCTACCCCTTTGTTATTTTGAATAAATATGTACAAGGATGGAACTCTTGCAACACAGTCTATTGCAAAGTGAATTCAGTACTAATGGCTATAGGCCAGTTCTATAGTTTGAATGTGTGTGTGCCCTTGAAATTCATATGTTGAAACCTAATGACCAATGTGATGGTATTAAGAGGTATTGGAGGTGATTAGATCTGAAAGTGGAGTCCTCAGGAATGGGATTAGTGCCCCCATAAAGAGGCTACGGAGATTTCCCTCACCCCTTCTGCCATGAGAAGATACAGAAAAGCAGCAGTCTCTAAACTGGGTAACCAGACATTGAATCTGCTGGCACCTTAATCTTCAACTTCCCAACCTCAGAAATGTGAGAAATAAATTTCTGTTGTTTATAAGCTACCCAGTCTGTGGTGCTCTGTTAACGGCCGTCCAACGCAGAGCCACCTGAACTGTTACGTCCTGAATAAAGGACAGGTTCACTGTAGTTAGGATTCAGAAGTACTAGGTGGTCATCCAGATGGTTCAGAATAGGCATAAATTAATGGTTTTATATTGTTATCAAAAGGAAAATGTAAAATTTTTAAAATATTGAAGCAAATTCATGAACTCCAAAATGTGTACACAGGTACGTACACAGGAAAAAGAGCCAGGCCTAGGAGTCAGATTCCCTTGGTTCTTGCCCTCCATTTGTCATTAACTAACTGTATGACCTCATCTAAGCCAACATATGCTCTTCAATTCTAGTTTTCTCATCTATGATATGAGGTAATTGAACTAGGTGAGTAAATACTCAAGACCCCAAAATCCATGATTTGTTATAATTCTATCCATGCTCACTTTTGTTTACATCTCCCTTTCTTGGCAATTTCACAAGCAAGAATACTAGGAGAACAAGTTTATCTTGCAGGCAATGAAACATTCCTCTGATGTATTACCTCCCCCCGCCAAAATAAAGTCTGGATGTTGGTGCTAGAAAGCAGATAATCTAGGGTAATGTCAAATGGTCATCCACGGAGCACTAGGAGATGTCTCAAAGGTCACCACGGAGTGGGGAGGATAAAAGAAAAAGTAGTGTGGACTATCTTTGTTTCAAAGAACAGCTCCTCTCACATCTGTTTTATATCAACGTTCCACATGTATGCTTTGAAAACTTACCAGGCACACCTCATCACCCCGTTAGATTCCCCTGGAGCCATGGCCTCCTGGGTCCTCAGCTGCCTGCTTTGCCTCTGCTTCAACTTTAGCTGTGCCTTCCCAAGGGGCTGCTCTTCATCCCACAACCATGACCAGGCCACTGGGCTTGGGTCCGTCTGGGTCTTACACTTTGGACTGGCTGAACTTGCACTTGCCCAGATGGGTTGGGCACTTGCCTTGGCTGGCCCTCTGCATCTAGGCCTAATGGCCACATGCCCCAAGTTTCTGGCTTCTAAGGCCACTGGTGCAATTGGGTGAAAGGCCACACTGGGATCTGGCTCCATGATCAACTGCCAAAGAAGTTGAATGAAGCTGGATGAAGCGCTGCAGAAGTTGTCTCCTTGTACAGTGAACTTAGATCAATGGAAGATAGCCCCCTGCACCTTCCTCCCCCTCCCCAACCTTTCCAAAGCATGATTCTCCATATTGCCTGTCCACATGTGGCCAAGTGGGTGCACTTCCTGAGCATCCAGCTGTGTCTCCAAAACACAGGACACAATGGCCGGCCCAGTAGGGCATCACCTCAGTCTTCCCTGCCCTGTGTTCTTTCTCTCTCACTCTCAGTTCCTGGGATTGTACCTCCTAAAAAAGGATCAGCACTTAATCATTGCCTCAAGCTCTATTTCTTAGGGAACCTGGAATAAGGCAAAAAACCACTGATATGATTTAATCCCCTCAGTTACGGACGTGTAAAACACAAACCTGACCACGTCCCTCCCCTGACTTTCCACCACCTATGAAATATCCTTGACAAGGCAACAGTGCCCTCCATGACCTGCCATCAGCTGTGCTTCACCTGCTGATTCTCACTATTCAAATTATGCTGGACAGCTTCAAATTCTCCTCCCACCATTCATGCTAGGGCTCACCTGTTACTTCGTGTTTGGATAAGGCAACCCGTTAGCCTGAGATGATGTGTTTACCAACTCTGTTTGGCTGATTTTTATGAATTCTCATTGAAATAACCTGCAATTGTCTTTGTTGATATCCTGAGATGCCTCAAGGGCAGGCACCTAGCATGGCACTTGGAATACAGTTGTT